ATTAGATGTTTATTCCTTCACTAATATCAAATATAAATCATCTGCACTGAAAATAAATGTTTTGCTCTTCACATAGAGGAAAAACAAGGATGCCACAAGGAGACTTTGCATAGAATTAGACTGCAGTCATTCAAGTGTACATTACTGCTGCTTTTGCAACTTGTTAGTGCCACCCATTGTTGGAAATGGGGCTCTGCTCCTGTTTCTAGGACCAAACTGCAATATTTAGCAGCTCACTTCAGGTGTTGTTCTCACCTAGGCTATTTACTTTTGTGAAGACAAGAAAACATTATTTAAAAAGAGGGAAAAAAAACCTTCACTCCCATTTAACAAGGCTTGTGCTCTCATTTTAACTTGCATTTTTCTCTAGCAGGCCTCATGCCTCAACCTAGGCCCCTTAGGACTCAGAGCATGTCAGTAAACAAGACCCACATTTCCAGAAGATGAAAGCAGCAGCCACAACAAGAGCGAGCACAAATCATATTTTCTTGAAAAGGACTCAGGTTAATAGAGATTCAAACACCCAGCTACAAATGAAAATAACGTGGCTCAATCTAGATGAAAAATGGAAGGTTGGGTTTTTCTTCTCTGCTTTCTACCAGAAAAAGAACATGATTTTTCAGTGTCAAAAGAAATAACTGAGTAGATAAAACAGAAATTTTCTCTTTAATACAGTTTTAATCATGTTTGGAAGAATGGAGAACTGTTTAAAGATGTGGTTAAAGCTAGGTCAGCATAATGTGAAATCCTGAGTCTAGACTAATAATTCCCTTTTTCCAGTTAGCAGACAAATGGCTATACCAGGCTGTATAATACTATACATTTTTCCCTTCTTTTCTCTTACCAGATTAAAAATAATGCAGTCTTAAGAACAGGCATATAGTTCTTTTTGAAATATCATTTAAAATATGTTTACTTTAGTTAGCGCTGTAAGTAAATGCTTTAAAATATATGTTTCCTGTTTTAGGGATGTTTGATTGTTCTCTCTTGATTGTATATAATCTACCAAACTGAAGTTTTCACTTCGTGCATCTGACAAAGTGGGCTCCAGTACGTGAAAGCTTACACTCAAATAAAATTGTTAGTCTTCAAAGTGTCACAGGACTCCTCAGAATATAAATATAATATAAAACAGAGTAACTATATACTGCATGACTTGATTAAATGATAACTAAGCCACCAGTAAGGTAAAAAGAATGTAAACACTGAGGGGGCAGTGGGATTCTTAAAGTGGTCCATAAAGTGAAATAATTAGAGTAATGGAATAAAATTTAGAAAATAAAAATGTAGGTGAACATCAAAGAACTGTGGAGTAGTAGTGTCTGTTGCAAACCTATGATCTAAGTGCTATTATTTTAGAATTGTGGTAGCAACCCAATAGTTAAGCTTAAATAAAGTTCCTTTAAATAAAATAAAATTTGATCGCCCCCCAAAAAGTTTAGCTTTTCTCAATGCCTAGATGTACAGTTCTCTTTTCATCTTAATGAGAGAATGATGTATACACATCAAGTGAGGGAAATAGTGTGATTACCATTAGAAAGCCCATCTTTGCATCGCTGACACTTACCTTTATTATCTGTACTTAGAAATGGTTACTCTGCAAATGTCAGTGCAAATTTTAACTACCCCAAGTGGTCAATGAGCTGTTTTAAAAGTATCAAAATTCTTCTTTTCAGTCTACTGAAAATATTTGCTCTACTAGGCTAGCTGGAAATAGTAGCAATCAGGAGACAGACATTAATGATATGTGAAACATTCTATTCCTTGGTGGATACATTGGGAGCAAAAGATTTGGATATTCTATCTAACTCCTTGCTCACCCAAAACCTTCATGATAGTCCTGTATCGCAAAGGTGTTCAACATGAATCATTCAGCTTTATTTCAGTGTCTATTATGGATGCTTTGCATTTATCAGGTTCAGTGAGAGTTTTGCCTCACAGGATTTGGCCCTAAATGCTCATCCCTGGGAATGTGGAAATTGATGGGCACCTAAACAATCCATAGCTCTGCAAAGCACATGTAAAAATCCCTAATGGATGGCTAAGTAGCCTCTTTACAGCCACTCTAAACAAATATAACACTGGAAAAAAACAATGCAGTTCATTTCTGGCCCCTCATCCTTTATCTCTGAGAAGGTGAAAACATGGGTATTAGTAAAATTCATGATTTCTACACAGGCATGGCTCCTTTTCCCCTCATCTCTCTGCTTCTCCCAGGTATTATTTTATCCCTTTTGTGGTTTCTTAGAGAGAGATGGTAAAAAACAAATGAGTGACAGGTGCAGATGTATTCCTAATAAAAGCTGACAGGAACATGCAGCCCCGTTCTTTAATTAACAGCCCAGGAATTACAGCAGCCCAATAGCAATCACAGTGCATCAAGGTACAAAAGTCAGCTGTGCTACTGACAGTTTTGCACATATTGCTGATCTTTGTTCTATGGAGATGTATAAAATATTCCTCCAAAAGCTTTTTCCTTAACCTTGTAATTATTACCTCAGAAAAAAAATTAAATCTGAATCCACCTAGCTTGATGACAAACTGCTGACATTGGTAAAAATAGTTTCTTGGTTCTATAATGAGGACTCTACTCATAGAAGGAACCCAGCTTTCTGGAATTTAATTCCATCAGAGAGATGACTGTTAAATATTGTCTTGTTTCATTGTTTTAAAGACTGTTTTCTCTTGCATGCCTTTAATTTAAATAAATAAGACTTTGCTTTAGTGAGACTGTCTAGTCACTCTAATAACCAGTCATTGCTCTTGAAGGGAAGAGAATTAGAGGATCTGAGCCTCTGTGGCTATGTCTACATTGCAGCCTTTGTCGGTTTTTGCGCAAAAAAACACAGTATAGACCTGGCCATTTTGTGCAAAAAAAAAAAAAAAACCCTTTTGTGCAAGAACCATTATTCCTCAAAAGAGCAGGTACACAGGATCTTGCACAAAAGGGGTTTTTGCCCCATCTACACTGTGGTTTTTCCCTGCAAAAACCTCTTCTGCAAAACGGATTGGAAGAGATTATGCAAATCAGACCTGCTGAAGTTATAACAGTGAGAGCCAAGGGAATGAAGCTCTCACCCCGAGCTATGAGTGGGAGAACTGCAAAATTTTTAAGGCAGATGATGTTTTGAAGACTAAGACATAGAGGAGATAGATTTATAGGAACCGTAATGACTGACAGTGAGCATCTGCAACCCTCTTTGAGTACAGTGAGAATGGCAAGTGCTCACTAGGATTTAGACCATGTGTTGCTTATTGTTTTCTTCTCTAACATATTATCACTTTAGTTTGCATGCTGTCTTCCATACAACTATATGTGTTGTGAACATGAGAGAGAGAAGTTGTGTTTTTGCCTGATGTCACAGATGAACCATTTTCCCTGGCTCAAAACCCATGCCATGGTTTTTGGCTCATTCCATAGCCATCTAGACCTCAGGATAACCACCTTTATCTTGAGATTTTGTCCCAATATGGTGGAAATCTGACAAGGGCTGTTCATCTCAGAAGATTTCAGCTATTCTGCATGACTAAAAGTTTATGAGATCAGTTGATCCTCTGGCTCATCTACCATTTGGAACGAAAGTCTGACGAAATTTTGTACTGGTTAGATCGAAACCTGATCTGGATCTGAATGCCACTTCCATAGTCCATCTCTAATTTAATTATTTATATCTTTTTCCTTTCCCTCTTTTTAGTCCTTGGGTTTTGCTTTGTGTAAATCTCTTTTTCTAGCAGCTTACATGGCCTCTCTATTTTTAAATTTGTTTGCATTTTTTACATTTGGCTCTGGCCTCTTTTAGTGTTATGGTAATGAAAGGTTTGTAGTTTTGTTTTATTTTTAATAGAGCAGCAATCCATTGTGGTGGAGTGGTATTGTTTGTTTGGTTCAATGAGTTGGGCTTTTTGTGTGTAGTTATGTGAATATTGCTTCTTTCTGCTTTTACCCCAGTGATAGGTTTTTCAACCTTGGTACTGATTCCATGGCATGTGGCTACAGCCTGCTTTCTGAGCTACCATTTGTTGACTTCTGCCATGTGTGGTTTATTTTTCTATTATCCCCAGTTAACTCTTTGTTTCAATGTTTCCAAATCCTGAAACATTGGATAGACATAATACTTGGCCTTCCCAAGTAGGAAAGAGACTGTGACGTTCAGTGGCATTACCGAGAGCCACAGAATGAACACAGCATAACGTTCTGACAACACGCGGAGATGTTTGCTAGGTGATATTGCATCATCCAAACCCCACGTCATCACCCACTGATGCAAAATCACAACAAAAACGCAAAGTCACGTCAGGATGTTGTGCTGTGACTATTTGGTGGTTCTCCCCAACCTCATACAATACTATCCCTCCCCGCTCCTGCTCTGTGGCTGGCAATGATGAGAGAGTGACTGGCCTAAGAGAAAGGACCCAGCCCTATCGTTATTCAGTGATGGAATTTCATTGGTTCATTACAAGATTTTAATGCCTCCTCCCCAGCAGCCAACCAGTCTAGTATCCACTTCAGAAATGTCCATATTTTATGACTAGGTCAGTGATCTTTCTGCTGTCTGAAATCATGCTGCTAAATAGGGTTGTGGTCTGAATGATAAACATTTAACGAGGGTCCATCAATTCTGTTCTCTGCTTATAAGCTTACTGCACAAACTCATCCCCGATAAATTAAAATTAGATTTAATGGGTCAAATTTATTATTGCACTGGGGTTTAACACAAGAATATAATTTCCTCCTCAATTTTGGCCCTGTCGCTCTCAATCAAAAGATTCTGCCTACGTTCCATTGTATGGTCAATAATGGCATTTACTGTGGTGAATTATATGGCACAGAAATCTTATTCATGTTAATGCCATCTAATATACTTGTTGCTCTATAACTATGTCTAGATGATCAGTCTGCAACCATGGGGGTCTTTTCATATCAAATGTACTGTTTTAATTTCTATATGAGCAAAAACTGCACACGTTTCTGATGGTGGAATTGTCTTCTCAAATTGCAGATTACAGTATTTCGCATGGGATCAGAAGGACACCAGGACATTGATTTAGCTATCCTGACAGCACTGCTAAAAGGTAATAGTTTCACTGCACAGTCAGTCCATGAAAAATCAAAATGTTTTAATTCTGTCTCTGAGGTGCTATAACCCTGCATATACTGGCAGAGTATAAAGTATGTAAATGATAAATTATAGGAGGAAACAGTAATTCAACTGCTTCTCAGACTTCACAATGTAATACATGCATTAACATTTAAAACATCCTGTTTCTTCTCCTAAAATCCTTGATCAGTACTAACTATGTCAAAGGAAACATCAGTGTGCATAGAAAAGAAGGCTCAACTATAAAATTCAGCTATCTCTATGCTCTGTAAAACGTACTTGATAATTTGTCTAATTTATAACGGTCTATTGTAAATTAGTGTTTGTAATTGGTTCTTAAACAATAGTTGATAGTTTGTCCAAAAAATTGGAACCAATTTTAACCAAAAAAAGAATTTGTGGCACAGTCATAGAAACATAGGTAAGATGTACTGTATGGGGGTGTGTGCTTACATTATGATGAATCACCAAGTACAGGTTGAATCTCTCTAATCCAGCATCCTCAGGACCTGACCTGTTCCAAACCAGAAAATTCTTCGGTCCACAGGAGGTCAATATTGTCTATCAGCGTACCGACACATTCACGACTTACTGGTCTGTGAGTGGACATTTAGGGATGAATTAGAGCTAAATAACAGCAGAGAGCACCAAGGCCTAGGACTGGTGGCTATAAACAAACTTTATGGGACCATAGGAAACGTACCCACACCCATGAAAAGTGGACATACAGATAACTAAAATCATACTGGTCTACACATGTTGCCGGACCAGAGAGTTCTGGAGTAGAGAGTTTCAACCTTTAATTAGTCAATTGACATAGACTCTTTCTCAAAAGATGTCAAAGATACAGTCTGCAAAAAGCCATCTGTCTTCTGTGTTATTCATTTGGGCTCTCTAGGGAACCAGCAGAATAATGGAATGGAAGACTTGCTGTAATACTGGGGAAGACGTGGTGGCCCTTAAAATCTTACCACTTACCTTAGATAACAATCAGTGTTTGCAGACAGATAGTCATAGTATTGGCAGTATTCAGAGTCTTTCGTATAATTAGTAGAAAGGCATACAACTGGAGGCTTCAGATAGAGGTAACCTCATATGCTTAGGTAAAATTGGCAAGATTTTAAGAGGAAACTACATCTTTAACTCTAACTTTGGCGACTCTATGAAGGAAAATAAGAGAGAGCAGGGAGATAGTGGGCTAGGTTCTTAATGGAATTATTCCAAACTGACACCAGCATATGTGATACCTAGGCTACTGGTAATGATCATATACTCTGTTCTTCTATTCAATAAGCTTAAAATATTGCATTATGGCAAGTCACCTGTTCATTTGCTTTTAAATGTTTGCAGGTTTTGATTTACTTTGGATTCAGTCTTGCAGACACTCTCACAATTAGTCCTACTGCACATGATTGTTTTACCGATATCATGGTATGATGCATCAAAAAAGGTTCAAGCAGTTTGTGACAAAGATCTGCTTGTAAACACAAAAATAATTTAAACTGGGATTCTGAGGCAAAATAGAACTGTTCTTCGTCTGAGCTGGTGTTTGGAGGATCAAGCTCATCTTTGTAGAAAGAGAGAGTAAAAATAAGCTATCTAGAACTGCTCTCATTGTTCTTTATCACAATCTGCATTGGATGAAAAGTTAAACAATATTGCTAAACATCAAGTAATTCTTTTGGGAATATTTCTGGTAATATTTATTATGTAAACTGTAATGGGTGACTGCCATCTATAAACAGCACATGTTCCCCAGAACTAGCATTTCTGCCATCTCACTTGCTACAAGCTTCAAATGCACAACTCAGTATCTAGGTCCATTGTGAAGAAGGTCCAAGTTCTCTTTCTTTCATACGGCGATATGAGTAATTTATATAGTATTTACATTCAAGAAGTTTATTATATTTATATAGTATTAAAATTCAAGGAGCAGGACGGGTTTCATATGTTTTACAGTCCTAAAGTGTCAAAGTATGCAGATAACAAACTCTTTCTAATGTTTCTGTACTCTACCTGAAATGGAAAAAATGAAATGTGATCGCCTCTTTTTTTTAAAAATGGTCTGATGTTTGCATGGAATCCCAGAAATATGATCCCCCATGACTGATAACAAGGCCAGCTAAATCACTGTGCTGAATTAAGAACCAGAAGGCCAGGTGGTAGTTTTGGGGTGCCATTCTGTTGCCTATGAATGTTTCCTACAGCTGTCGGCAAGCTGCTGCCACCGCTGGATTTGGCGGAGTATGGTACTGCATGGGAGACTTGGGTGTGATAATGTGGCCAAATTAGTACTGGATTGACATGGTTAATGGGAATTGTGCCTGTTTATTCCAGGGCTGAATTTCTCCTGGTCTCTTGCCCTGGGCTTGTGGTGAAAGAATAGCACTCAGCCTGAGCAGGGAGATGAATGCCTTATATAATCAATAGCCGCTCCTTTGGTTGATGAACTGGTGTATTGTGAGACTCAAAGAATGAAAAGAAGGACTGTGACGTAGCTTACAAAGAAGGGGGAAGTATGGGGAGCTCCCTCTAGTTCTAACATAGCTGCAAATAACACCTTCTCTCTCCCTAATCAAGTCTTCAGGTGGTTCAAGTTTGACTTGCTTAAGAGCTTTACTTTGCTTTTGATTTCTGATGACTGAGCATGATTACAAGGCACAGATGAGCCAATGTACAATGCAAATATCCAGGCACCCATGTCTGATGATCATACATGATGTGATTTTACCAAAAAAATCTCTAAATGGTGTTGATTTTGTTTTGACTCATAAAGCCAAGCCAGGCATTAATTTTTGCGCACCCCATTAACTTTCCTTATGCCCAAGCAGAGAATATCATGTCTATCCTTGCATTTTAGATTTTGATTTGGTTTTCTAGACAAATGTTTCCTTTCAAATGTGTAGGAAATGTCTGCACAGAACTGTAAATTAGCAATGTCCCGTTTAAATAATTTTATTATTTAAATATCAGTGCACTGAGCCCATACTCATTTGGTTTGGTGACTGCCAAACAAGGAAATGAGCAGACATTATTTCACTACAGCGGTAGCTGTTTCTTTGTTTAAAAAAATAGAAGAAACCAAAGGCTTTTTAAAGAACATATATGGGTCTCTTTATTTTTAACACAATAAAACACAGTGGCATTTTTAAAAGATGCCATCATTTGGTTTGTGATTACCATGGATGTTTTGTTGCTACTCCATAGTAAAAAGAGTAGTTAAAATTTCAAGGCATTCATTGTGGAAATTTTTACATGGACTCAAGGGAAAGTAATTGAACCAAACAAACCAAAAATCATGTATTGCTTAAATTAAATAAATAAAAGCCCAAGTCCAGGAAACATGTTTTATTTTGATTTTAACAGGATCTTTCATTTATCCTCTGCTAAAATTGTGAAAACTTGACATTCTGCAGTCACAGAAACTGCAGGTCTTGATCCCTATTTGTTAGTAGGTGTTGCCAGCAAGAGTAAGTCTCAGGTCTGACACTGGGTTCTCAAAGTACAAAGGACGCTACACAGGTATCTGTCAAACACAAGCAGTTTATTTCCTGACAGCTATCAGCTGTGCCCCTTAACTAAAAAAACAACATGATAGGAAAAGCGGCATTTCTTACATCCCTTCGGCTAGCCGGGAACCCCATTTCAGCTGCAGATGAAGTGGGAGACTGTCTCAGCTTCCGAGGCACTGGTACCAAAAGCCCATCGGTGAGGTCCAAATTGCTGTGCTCTGGTGCAGCTTTAAATACTGTGTATCTACCTTGTTTGTGGCAGTTTGGAAATATCTGGGGGTTACTCATTGCTTGTTACAGTATGGCTCAGCTGTACTGCTTGTCCTTTGACTTTGTTTACATGATCGGTACATTTAGGTAAACAAGATTATGTTCCCGCCCTTATCTACAATTTGTTCTTGCTACAATGGCGTATGTTCCTAGAGGCTTGCTTCTGGCTCATCAGTAGTAGGGAATGGGGAGGGGGAGAATGGGAAAGGAGGGAGAATGCAGGCCTCACCGCCGCTATACTTCACATGTATAATTTACCCCTACATTCCACCCCTGGGTGGTGGGGCACTGCACTCATATTCATGGATGGGAGGTATACTAGCTGTCTGGTTACTCCAGGTAACAGGTGTAGTAGATACCACACACAAGCACTCCACACGATTAGTGAGTACCACAGTGGTCTGCTTGAATATGCCATCCATAACACACTCTCCCACTGTATTAATTGCTATTCTACTAGGATCCAGAATGTGGTGTTTAAAGGGACACATCCATTCATTCCAGGGCATTTAGGCAAGCATGCCTCTCTTTGGATGTAAATCTCCAGCTCCCAATTAGCTCACAAGTTTGGATCCTGAGACGAGCCTCCATATTCTGATTGGGATGCATACGCATTGTAATGGTGTCTTCCCGATAGGTGATAGGTGTAGTCCATAGGTGCTTGTCTAGGGGTATAAAGCAAAAACAAAACAAAGAAACATATGCAGCAGCAATTGTTTATAATATGTCTTTGGTAAATTAGCAAGTTGGGCTTAGCAATAATTCGTGGTTGGCCTTAAGAGGGCAGCTGGGTGTCTCTTTCCCATGCAGACTGTGGGGCACCTCTCAGGGCCATAAACTTGAGTGTATATGCGAAGTTCGTAATAGTGGTATCCAATTATGGATGTCCGTTTGGTGTTGTGCTGCCTAGCTTATAAACAGACAGGGCCGCTTTTCTGTGTCTGGCCTGTTAACCTGTTTTGGCTTCAGCTAGGCTTTGTCTCTTTGCTCCAACTGAACAGCAGGTTTCTGGGGGATAGCTTGGCCACAGACCATAGTTTAGGTTTTACCTATATATCAAAGGGCTACTGGCTACAGTGGGTTAAAAATCTGTTCCTGCATTCCCTTCTCTTAACCTAAGGTTCTTTAACCCACCAGGTAATATACAGCAATGTTAATGTTTGTAGCTTACTTTGGAATCATTGGTAGAGCA